GATTGTCTTGATTCAGTGTGTGTGTGTGTGTGTGTGTGTGTGTGTGTGTCTGTCTGTCTGTATGTATGTATGTGTACATGTGAATATGTGCATTTGTTTATCTGTGGTGTATGTACACACACATGGGTATGGTCTCAAGGAATTTAGAATTGTTCTTTCTGTACCCGATTAGATTGACATTGGAATTTTGTTGGGAATTGAATAGAAACAGTACAATGCTTTGGGAAATAATGGCATTTTATCAATTTCAATTCCTCCAAGCAATGAAATTGGGATCTTTTGATTTATTAATATATTTTTCAGTTACCTTCATGCTTTTTACAATATATATTTTATTGAATTTTGTGCATTTCACACATCTTAAACATATTTAGACCCCTCCCTTATCTGTAGCCCTTGTAGACCCCCCCACAAATTTCATCCATTCTGATATATATTAAAGCCTATCAAGTCAAGTTTGTGTCCCCAGATGTCCCTCAGTGTGAGTTTATTCATTAGAGCCTGGTCAGCCTGTCTAGCATCACTCCCTTAAAGAAGACCAACTTTCCAACACCCAGGAGTTAGCCTCTAATAGTTCCTCAGCTAAGGCTGGTTTCTTACCCATTTCCCGAGATCTATGCTGAGGTTTTATCTCGTATGAGTTGGCATGGGTCTTGTGCAGGCTGTCATCATTGCTGTAAGTTCATAGGAGCAGGTTCCCAGCCACCTGGAAAACTCTGTTTCCTTATGGTCATCCACCATCCCTGGTTGTTTCGCTTCCTCTTCCACAACAGTCCCTGATCCCTGGGTAGCAGATGTTTAATATAGGAGTCCTAATTAGGAACATACTCTGAAGTCTCTTATTCTCTACATTTTTGGTCACTTGTGGTTTTCTGTGTTAATCATCCTTCATTGCGAGAGAAAGTTTCACTGGTGAGAATTGGGAGATGCATCAATATTCTCTCTACCCCTTGTTCTGCTATGTTCTGTGAGCCTCAGGTATAGAGGTTCCATTGTAGCTGTGTCACTTAGGGCTGGGAATCTCACAGACATTCATTCTCTGTGTGTGACAAGTTGTGGAACTCTGTAATAATCTCCATCTCCTACAAAAAGAAGTTTTGTTGATGAGTCATGAGGGGTATGCTTGTCTGTAAATACAGTAATAAATCATATTTATCTAGTAATGTGACAGATGTAGATTTTTCTCTGGAATCTGTGATCTCTCCAGCCATATGTATTGGGCTATCTTCACAGTACAATACATGAGTTCCCTCCCATTGAGCAGGCCTTAAGTCCAATTAGGTAGCTGTTGATCACCCCAAGATAAAAGTGCCACTATTGCAACAATAGAGATAATTTGCTGTGCCAGTCATTGTGGTTATAAGGCTTTACAGCTGGGGCCCTTGGACCATTATTTATTTTTCTCCTTCTTCTTAACAGCTTACTTAGTATCCCCTATAGCTGAAGGCTATATAACAAGAAACACAGTGCCAGACAGGCGAAACCTCCCTTTGAGCTGTTGGTTAGGGTATTCTAAGAGACTCCCAAAATAACATAGGCTATTGCTCCAGCCCTTGATTTCTCCTAGAACTTGAAGGTAAGACTCTATTGCTGAAGACAGGACATATTTCATAAACAGGACTTAAACAAATCGAGCTGGGACTGACCTGGTTGCCTCCTCCCTGAAGACTAGCTTTCCTAGTTCTAGAGGTTACTATGCAAGCTGCTAAGGGAGAAAACCAATCTATGGTTTTATAATGTTCAATGTAAGGAAAATATGCCATTTAGGTTAAAGTGATGCCAACATGTTTGATATTTTTGTAGCTAGTGCAAAATGCAATTGTCTTTATTTCCATGTTGAATAGTTCATTTTTGGTACTTAAAAATGCTACTGATTTCTGTTTGATGGCTTTGTATCTGTAGTTTTATTCAATACATTTATTAATTTTAACCATTTGTGGGAGAATTCTGCGGGATTATCTATATATAGGTCCGTGTAATGAGCAAACGGTGACAGTTTTGTATCTGCCTTTCTAAGTGGATGCCATCTATTCTTTCTCTTTCTGAACCGCAAGGACTTCCAACACCATATTTGACACATTCAGAGAAAGCACACATCATTGTTTGTTCCAAATTTTATAGGAAATATATTCAGTTTTTTTTTTTTACCATTGAGTGTAAACTTTCTCTGGGCTTTTCAGATATGAATATTTTTGTACTAAGGTAAATCTCTGTCTTCTAATTTGGTGAAATTTTTGTCATGTAAGGAAATTGGATTTTAACAAATAGCATTTATGCATCTAAAGATGGCCATCTGTTTTTTATCAGGCTATGGTGACATGTATCAATTATAGATTTGCATCTACTGAGGCATTTTTTTTGCAGCCCAGGGATAAATCCTGGATCAGGATAATCCTGATCATTTAATGTGCTGTTAACTTTTATTTATCAGCATTTTCTTGAGTGCTTTTGTGTCTATGCTCATGGAAGACATGGTATAATTTTCTTATAATGTCTGTCTTATTTTAGTTTTACAGTAATGTTTTCTTCATAGGAAAAGAAATTGTAAGTATTCCCACTTCCTTGATAAAGAAATTTGGGGAGAAGGTGGGGACTAATGTTGGTTCTTCTCTAAATGTTTAGTGTAATATATCAGTGGAGCTATCAGAACCTGATTTATTTATTCATTATTAGAATAATTTTTATCACTGAAACATTCTATTTAGTCATTAGTGGTGTGTTTAGCTTCCCTATTTATTCTTATTTCATTCTTGGTAGGTTGTTTTGGATGGGGATATATCTTTTCTTCTAGGATATCCAGTTAATGTGTATGGAACTGTTTGTAATAGTCTCTTATGATCCATTGATTGGCAGTGCCAAATGTAATGCCATATCATTCATTTCCGCTATCATTTGTGTGACTCTTCATACTCTTTTTCTTAGTTTGGCTGAAGATTGGTTAGTTTGTTTATCGTTTCAAAGAAACAACTCTTGGCTTTATTGGCCTTCTGTACTTTCTAAGAGTCTGAGAATCATTTTCCTGATATTTATCATTTCTTCCTTCTACTGTTTTTGCACTTACTTTGTTCTTCTAGTTCTTTTCAGAATAACTCTAAGTTGTTTATTTGATGTTTTTATCCTTTTTTAGGTGTAGTGGTTTGGTGCTATGAACTTTTCTCATACAACTGCTTTAGTTATATCCCATTAGTTTGACAAGTTGTGTTTTCTCTGTCTCTCTGTCTCTCTGTCTCTGTCTCTCTCTGTCTCTCTCTCTCTGTCTCTCTCTCTCTCTCTCTCTCTCTCTCTGTGTGTGTGTTTGGTGTGTGCACTCATGTATGACTGTTCAAATGTGCATGAATGTAGAGGCCAGAGGTTGGCTATATATATCGAGGCAGGGTCTCTGACTTGAACTTAGGGCTCACCAATTCAACTATTTTACCTAGTCAGTTTGCTGTGGAAATGCCCTGTCTCTGCCTGCCACATGCTGGGATTAGAGGCATGTTGCCATGCCTGCATGCCATTTACATGCATGCCAGGAATACAAACACCAGTCCTCAAGCTTGGGTAGCAGACACTTTACTCATTGAGCCACCTCCCCAGCCCTGCTTCAACATGCTTTCTAAATTTCCATATACTTTCTTCATTTCTGTATTAGTTGCCCATGAACATGTTGTTTAATTTCCATAAATCTGTAAATTTTTAAAAATTCCTCCCATTGTTGATGTCTAGTTTCATTCTATTGTGGTTAGAAAATAGATCAAAAGTATTGATGTTATACTTGCTATAACAAGCTTTATCTTGTGAGATCCAGTCTAAAGAATGTTCTGAGAGTGTTAGAAAAGAACATTGTGTTTGGTAGAATATCCTGTATATTAATTTAAAATTTTTTTCCAATGTGCTGTTGAGTCTTATGCTCCCTTAGGAATTTTTTATCTGAGTGAGCCATTAATGCAGCTGGCCTGGAACTCACTATGTAGACCAAGCTGGCCTTGAACTCGCAGAAATCTGCCTGCCTCTGCCTCCTGAGTGCTGGGATTAAAGGCGTGCACCACCATGCCTGGCTTTGAAATCTCTTTTATTACTGTATTACAACTACCTCTCCCTTCAGATACTCTCATACTTGGTTTATGTATTTACATGCTTCGGTGTTGGGTACTAATAACAACTTTGATTGCCATAGCAACTCCGCATTTCACTCCTCACCTCCCATATTTTTATATCTTTAACTTCAGAATTTTTATTAACTTATAATGACAATCTATTTGGGGCTATAGTTGATTGTTTGGGCTTTGTTTTGGTAGTATTGTTGAACACGTGCGGGGGACGAAATTGCCTCACTTATTGTCATTACAGTCTTAATGTGTTCTGAACATTTCTCTGTTGTATCTGAATCATTGATTTTTTTGCTTTCATTTTTTTCATGTCATTCATTGTGTTCTTTGTGTCTCAATTAATAAAAACCTCTATAATAGCTCCTGCAATATGTATCTAAAGGGATTAGTTTCATAAGATTTCATTTATCTGGGAAAGTTGCTATTCCCTCATTTCAGAAGGACATCTTTCCCCAACACTGTATTCCTGAGACACAATTGACCTGTGTCCCATCTCTGCATATATTGGTCTTTAGAAACCCTTTTCTTCAGACAAGTACCTTGTGTGTACATCACATTTTCCGAATCGGTAAGAAAATACACTTAGAATGCTTAAAATCAAGCTGAATGGAGGACACTGGCAAGTTGTAGACCTTGAAAAGAATAAGCACTAGTGGGTAATCCACACAACAATCCATTGCGTTTACTGGGGCACTGCATTCATGCGTGTATCTTTTCATCAGATACACATTTGACTCAAACGTCACTTCCAGCTCTCCTAGCTATAGAGAGCAGAGCAAGTCAAGGAGTTTCACGAAACTATTTTTCTGCTGTGCTGATGACCAGAGGTTTCCTGTACAGGTATAGGCAAGAATACCATCCAGATGTGTGCCTGGCAATATAAACTGTTATGAATCCATATCTCTTCAGATGCTGGAGCCCCCACCTATATGTATGAGTTTCAGTACAGCTCTAGCTTCTCATCAGAACTGAAACCCAAGACGGTCATAGGAGACCACGGAGATGAGATTTACTCTGTCTTTGGTGCCCCAATTTTAAGAGGTAATGGTGAGTTACTGTCTGTAAGTTTGTGGTTAGGAGGTCTAGGTTCCTGTCTTGGTTTGGTGACTTTCAGCACATTTTTCTTCCTCTTCTCATTTTCTCACTCAGTGTAATAGGGCTAAGCTAAGTTGGAAAGTCTCTAACTTTATCTCCCTTCAACATGCATGGGGGAGGATGTACATTCATGTGCTCCCAGCAATACTCTCAGGATCCTGACAAGTGGCATCTGTAAGAGAGGTAGGTCCCCTGAGTGCCTCACTTGGGGACAAGAATGCCCATTTGATTTCCCACACAAAATAATACATCAGAATGTGAATAAGGATGTGTTCGTGTTGTTAACCATGAATCCAGTGCCATACATAACTGTCTATACACATACTTACCTATCTAATAGTCATATTTTACCTACACTATACTTAATAATACAATATTTAAAGAAAATCTTCCCAAAATGTCTTATCTGAACTTTCAGCAGTTCGTGTGGCTTGTGACTTCATTCATATTTGTCTGTTCATGATGTACTTTATGCCTCCCCTAATTGGCTGACATTTTAGAAACTTTGCACATTTACTATCTTCAGACTATGAAAATACGAGTTTGTGAAGGAGATTAAGAAAACACCCAAGATCCAACAATCCTGTGATTCAGAGAATTCCCTTGGCTGTGGCTTTTCCATACTGAGGAGAGATGCACTAGCCAGTGGGCATGGAAAATAGTCATCATCAAGTTGGAAATGGACTGTATGTCCATTTTTCGGTCCTAAATCAATCATTCTCAAACTGAATCATTCTCACCAATTAATCAGCATCTTCCTATAATTAAAATTTTGACTCAATGTTTTTTGAGTAAGGGCCAAAACTTGCATTTCTAACAAGCTCCCAAGAGATACTGCTGTTGCTAGTTCTTGAACCACATATTGATTCTCAAAGCCATTCTTTTTTATTCCTCTAAGATGGGGCCTCAGAAGAGGAACTCAACCTCAGCAAAATGATGATGAAATTCTGGGCCAACTTTGCTCGGAACGGGTGAGACTGCTGAAAAAGATGGAGCTGGGCTGGTGGATGAGTTGGAACTGTGGGGATGCTCATATGGAAGGGGTGGCTTCTAAATTTAGTGACTAACTATGTGACCACAGGGCTCTAACAGTGCTGTTCCCCATCACTTTTTGTTCATGGGCATTTTGGCAGATAAGCCAATGTGTACTTATAAATTTCATTGGAATGTAGAGACTGTAGAGCAATTTTGAGGAATTCTGTTTGATTCTGTTCCCAGGAATCCAAATGGGAAGGGTCTGCCTCATTGGCCAGAGTATGATCAGAAGGAAGGGTACCTGCAGATTGGTGCCATCACCCAGCCAACCCAGAAGCTAAAAGACAAAGAAGTAGCTTTCTGGACTGATCTCCTGGCCAAGAAGCCACCCCAGATAAGACACACTGAGCTGTGAATGAGAGTCTCTACAAATCTTGGGAGACCAGATGTTTGTTGGCCAAGGTTGGATCTTTCAGAACACTAGAGAACTGTGTAAGGTTGAGATGGGAAGAAGCCAAGGGAGGGGAATTTTTGCACTTGTAAGCACCAATTTACCAAATAAATACTGTTTTGTAAATCAAATCAAAGTCTATGTCTTATGTTGGAGATGAATCCATCCTCTTCAGAGAGGGAAGGATAAAGAGACACCATCAAAGGAAGAAAGAAATTTGGCCCATCTTTCATCCATTTCCAAGTGATGTAATCAAATGGAGAAAAATTATTCTAAAGACTTTAGTAGAGTGTTAAGGTGAACTAAGGCTCGTAGGAGAATATAAAATTCCATGGATCCACAGAGCCAATGAGTTTTCATCTATCACAGAATCTTCCATAATCTGTTATGTGATATTTAAAAAAAATCAGGGCTGGAGAGATGGCTCAGTGGTTAAGAGCACTGATTGTTCTTGCAGAAGACTCAGGTTCGCACCCCAGCACCCACATGGCAGCTAACAACTGTCTGTAACTCCAGTTTGAGGGGATCCGACGGCCTCTTCTGTCCTCCGCAGGCATTGCAGGTGCACTTACTTACATGCAGACAATACACTCATACACATAAAATAAAAATAATAAATGAAATATTTTTTTAAAAAATCAAGAGCTGGTGTTGAGACCTTAGAAAGAAAATCTCTAGTGATATAGGCCTGAAGCTCTGCTCAAACTCTTACCCTGTTGAATAAAATCCTTCAACCATAGGAGAAAGTGCAAGCCTTTCTCTTCTTAAGGGTGAGGTGAAGACTTAATGAGGCTGGAGAAAAGGAAAAACAAATCTATATCTGTGGGAAAGTGAGAGGAAATTCTCTTGGGTAGAGAGCTTTAAGTCATTTGTTGATCAGGAGGGACAAGGTCATAAAGAAATCTACATGTCCAATATTCAGGAACATGAGGCTACCTTTTGAATTATGGAAACCAGCTGGGTGCCATCTTCAAGAGGGCAGGTGCCACTTACCAACTCTCAGAGATTTGATGGGAGGAAATGAAAATGTGAATGAGATCTCCTGTGAAGGACATATGCACAGGGCAGGCCTAAAACTCTCCACTGAGCACCCAGAAACAGCTCACAAGAAACATGCTAAGACAAACAAAACGTCAGGTCACACTGGAGTAAATAGTGCACTGTGATATCCAAGGTGAAAGCCTCACTTACATATGGATGGATTATGGATGGACGGATTTAACCCCCTTAACACACTCACATATGAGAGAGAAATAATTCATCAGATTAATGAGGGAGGGAAGAAGTATGTTTATTTAAAAACTATTATAATTGAATTTTTGCAAATTTCATACAATATATTTTGATCATATTTAGACACCCCCCCATATACATCCCTCTTAATAGCACCCCCACCAGCTTTCATGTACTCTGTTACATATGTTAAAGCCTATCAAGCTAAGTTTGTGTCCCCAAATGTTCTTTGGTGTGTGTCCATCCACTGGCTAACCTGCCTAGCGCCACACCCTCAAAGAAAACAAACTCTCCCCCTCCCAGTAGTTAATAGTTGCCAGTTTTCCTGAGCTAAGTTGGCTGTGGGTTTGTTGTATGCACCCTTAATTATTTTGAGGTGTGTTCCTTTCAATCCAGTTCACTTTAGGTCTTTTATCACGAACGCATGTTGGATTTTGTCAAAGGCCTTTCCTGTGTCTATTGAGATGATCATGTGATTTTTTTACTCAAGTCCACTCATATGATTTATTGTGTTTATTGACTTATGTATATTGAGCCATTCTTGCATCTATGGAATAAAGCCAACTTGATCATGGGGATTATCTATTTTATGAGTCTGCATGTGATTTGAGAATTTTTTGTTGAGAATTTTTCCATGTGTATTTATTGGGCATCTATGCCTGTAATTTCTCTTTTGTTATATCTTTACCTATTTTTGGTATTAAAGTAATATGGGCTTTATAGGGGTTTGGTAGTTCTCCCTCTGTTCCTGTCTTTTTGAATAATTTAAACAGTATTGGCAGTAGATCTTCTTTGAAGGGTATGGTAAAATTCTGCTGTGATTCCATCTGGACCTGGAGTTTTCTTAGTCATGAGACTTTGTATTACTGTTTTGATATTCTATTTGTTATGGGTCTGTTTAAGTTGTTGATCTCTTTTTGATTTAACATTGGTGGTTTTTATGAACTTGGAAATGTGTCCGTTTCTTTTGGATTTCATAATTTGATAGATTACAAGACAGAATTAAAAGAATAGATTACTAATATATTCCCTTATAATGCTCTGGATCATTTTTGTTGTCTGTGGTGACGTTTCCTCTTTGATTTCTGATTTTGTCGATTTGGATTTGTTTTTACTTTCCTTTGGTTAGGTGGACTGAATGTCTGTCTATCTTATCTTTACAACAAAGGAGCTCTTCGATTCTGTTGTTTCCTTGGTTCCTTTTTACTTGATTTCTGCTCGATTTTTATTAGTTCTCATCTGCTGGATCTGAGCTTGGCTTGTTCTTGAGTTTCCAGATTATTGAGTTGTACTATTCAGTCATCTATTTGTGCTTTTTTCTGACTTTTTAAATGTTGGCGCTTAGAGCTATAAACTTCCCTCTTAGGACTGTTTTTAATGGGTCCTGGAGCTTTTGTTGTGTTTTGTTATCTATTTCATTTAATTCCAGGAGTACTTTTATTTTCATTGGATTCCTTCTTTGACTCATTCATCATTCAGTAGGGTGTGTTTAGTACCAATGCAGTCACATAGTTACTAGAGCTTCTTTTGATGTTGATTTTAAGCTTTATGGCATTTTTGTTCTGCAGGAATACATGGAATTATTGATAACTTGATAAATCTACTGGTTGTTTAGTCTGTTAATAGGGGGTTTCTTTTTTGTGCCTGGAGTTTTGTATCTAATATTTGACCTGATGTGTATGAGAACAGAAACTGAAGAAGAGAGTATTCGTGAGTGAAAATAGGCTTCCTTGTTCCATCGTCCTGCTTTGGGCCTAGGCTCCTGTTTTAGGACCAACCTCTTTTATACTGCACAAGGGCCCACATCTACCCACTTAGCTAGTCAGAACCCACCCATTTGGGCCCTATCATCCCACCTTAGGCCTAGACCCCTTTCACAATGCTGGAAATCTCCCAACTAGCCTGATTGGAACCATCTCATCCTTCTAATGAAATTTAAAAAAATCAAAAGTAAGAACTTGAAGCACGGACAAACTAACTATTGATGGCTTGTCAGAAAACAACCAAGTTATATCAGTGATATAAACTTTAATTCAACAAAGGCAGGCTAGAATTTCATATCATACAGACAACTAACAAAATAAGTTCATATTCCCGGGTCACAATGCAAAAACAGAAATAATATGAAAAACCTAGGTAATATTTACACCAAATCCCACCACTCCTATAGGAGTGTTCTACAATGAAAATGGCCCACGGGAACCCCAGGATAAATAACCAAAAAGAATAATCATAAACATGACAAAAGAGTTAAGGATTTTAAAGAACACACAAAAAGCTCAAAGAAGACAGGAATAAACTCCTAAATGAAGCTCAAAAACTTAATACATATATGGCTAAATGAAATGTCAAAGAAAATTCAGGATTTGAAAAGTGAATTCTGAAGAGAGAAAAATTGAATAAGATTCAAGATGAATGAGATGGAACTGAAGATCCCAATAGCAAAACGATGCTTCTGAAGGTCAGCAAGTCTTTAGTAACTTATTCCAGAGATTCTGGAATAGACAAAGTGCTGTACAAAAAATTAAAAAGAACGATTTTTCAAGAGATCACTGAGGGATGAGTGTGTAACTAAGTGCTAGGGTTCACTCCAACCATGTTTAAGGCCCTGGGTTTAATCCCCAGCCACACACACACACATACAGTCAATGAAT